CATCTCCTCACTCCTTCCATTCCTCTCCTCTCTCCTGCAAATGCATATTTCTCTTTCTCTTTCTCTTTCTCTTTCTTTACCTTATCCCACCTCGGTTCTTCCCTTTGTAGCTTCCTTTTCTCTTTCAGGTAAACCCCAGTAAACGTAGAAACAATGAGGAAACCTGCTTCTGATATCAAAGACTTGAACAAAGGAGCTTGGTCCAAACAAGAAGACCAAAAACTCATAGATTATATCAACAAACACGGTGAGGTTTGTTGGCGTACACTCCCTCAGGCTGCAGGTATGGAATAAATTAATATATCCAAACTGTAACAAATTATATATAATATACATTTCACCTCATGCACTTTTTTTCATGATCATAGGTTTACTTCGGTGTGGCAAAAGTTGTAGACTGAGATGGATAAACTATCTAAGGCCAGACCTTAAAAGAGGCAACTTTGCTGAAGATGAAGAAGATCTCATCATTAAGCTTCATGCGCTACTTGGCAACCGGTGCGAATTTAGTTCTGAAAACACCATGAACCCACTTTTTTAAATGTGTTTGTGAGTGTATAAGAATGAAAAAAATTTGATCATATATGTGTACTGAGCAACATTATAACATCATTGAGTAATCATCATTGAGGAATATAAATGGAAATTAAAGCCAACTTTTTCCAACGTATTGCTGAAAAGGTTTCTATTAGTTGGACTTATAAAGTAAGAAAAATAATTAATCTTTTAATATTGACTCATACAGGTGGTCACTTATAGCAGGGAGATTGCCTGGTCGTACAGATAACGAAGTGAAGAACTATTGGAATTCTCATATAAAAAGAAAGCTAATTAGCAAAGGCATTGATCCAAATAATCATCGATTAGATCATAAAGTCCCTTTCCTTCAGAATCCACCCATGTCTGAAGATGCCTCAGAACCTTTTGGCACGAAAGTCGTTGAAAAGAACAAGCCATGTAAATCACCTCGTCATGTTTATGGTGATGTCTCAGACGATGCAAGTGGCGAGGCTCAGTCATCATATGCCCTTCCGGATTTAAACCTTGATCTCTCTATCGCCATACCTTCAGAATCACACACTATTTCTCAAAACAATCTAAAACCCTTTCGTCAATCTTATTCATCCAGGAAACTGCCTTATGATTCTCCTTCTACACTTCTTCTGTTTCAGTAATAAACATCATGGCTTCAATAGGATCCGATCTACTCGTCGAACCACAACTTGTGATAATATATTGAGATCTTACGAACAGGGAAAATGAGAGAGCTTGTGTTGTTCATGAAGGATAACACTCTCAACTAGAAAGAATGTTGGTTAATGCTTTATTGCAAACTTTCCAATGGCATAAAAGCAAACCAATATTTCTATACCCAATGGAAGCCATTAATTGCTGCTATATATATACGTTCATAAATATTATATATATATATATATATATATATATATATATATGTATGTATGTATGTATGTATTTATGTTATATATAAGAATACTAAAAAAATTCTTCTATGAAAATGAAAAGATTGTATATCTCCATTGTAAATCCAATTATTAACAAATAGATTGAATCCTCTGGAACGTACTTGTAGTAATATTTCCTTGTTGGTCCTGAAAAAGTGAGGTTCATTCACTTGCCACAGATTTGGAGGCTATAATTGTGGCGTTATAAACAATGGAAATATTCAATAGGTATCTATCTTTCTGACGGAAACGTTAGTTTGGGAATGCATTGAAAATTGTTTATTCGGAATGACAATTCCGTTCAGACCCTGGTAATTATAA